ATAAAATATTATATTAAAAAAACAAAAAACTGTTCCATTGTAAAACAACTTATATTACCTCATCTGGGCCATCTAGAAGACTGGCCAGAAGAATCAACAGGCTTCCTAATTCATTTTCAAACTTTTTATCCATTTATTATTTTTTATAAATACTTTTTTTATACATGTATAAATATTATTTTTATAAATAATTCAGGGCAGCAATCATACATAATACTCCTTTCTTCTCATATTTTCCCATAACAAAAACCTGCAAGGTGGGTTGCCCTGAGAAAGCAACTTGCCCAAAGTCACCCAGCTGACTTTCATGGCTAAGGCAAAACTAGAATTCAGTTTCCCAGATTCTAGCTTGATGTCTTAACCGCTAGATCGAACTGGCTCTCCTATTGTAATGAAATATTATAATCCACCAAGAGTCTTTTTACTATGAGATGGGGAGCTATATAAACATGATTAATAAATAAATAAAATAAATGCCACATTACAACTACTTCACATTCTTGGATCTTATATTTATAATGTAAGTAGGGTGGGTAGGTGCTATATAATTGGCATTAGTGAACCCATCTCTTAGCCTTTAAAATAGCTTTACCATTTATACCAGATGTTAAAAAGTGCTTTGGTCTTCCTGATAACCCAACACAAAATATGGGTCTTTCCATTTTACAGCTCTGATTTAGAAAGTTTTGCTTTGTTAAAAGATTTTGTGCATACTCATTGCCTTTATAATAGAAGTACTAATCATAATTAAACTAATCTACAACTTGCCAAAAGAGTAGAAATAGAAGATCTACAATCCTATCCAATTTATTTCTACTAGGATTGTCGCTTAATTAAAGCATTCTTAGTTGCTCATATATTTTAGATTGATTCACTGATCAATAACATTTCCATATAAACAAAGCCTCAATGTAGCTGAGGTTTGGGGAATGTTAAAGGAAGTTAAAAGAATCTCTGATTTAATTCAATGGACAAATGTTACCACATCATTCAAGGAAAGGCTAACTTTCTTATTTTCTATTTCATTTCTTATTAAATGCAAACCACCACTGCCAAAGAACCTCAGAAATAAACAAATGGATCCTTAAATCATAGTCCTGCTGATTAGATTTGCCCTCAGCAATTAAAACTGTCTCTTACCAGTTAATCTGCTATAGTATTAATTAATTTCCTAATTAAACCTTGCATGTATATTTCTACAATTGTACATCATTTTAACTTAGTACCTTATAAGCAGTACAGAACACTCATTGGATAAAGAGAAAACTTGGGAGAACTAAACTGTATGATACAACAGTTTTAATTTTTGTTGTATGTTAAAGCAAGGCTTTACTTAATAAAAAAATGAGCAAAACCTCTAAAACATCTTTATACATACATGACAACCAGCTACACTGGTTGCCAGGCTGCTTCCGGTTGCAATTCAAGGTGTTGGTCATCACCTTTAAAGCCCTGCATGGCATGGATTCAGTGTACCTGAGAAACTGTCTTACCTCAATGGGACTGGCCCACTGCGAATCCCATCATTCAAGGAATTTCAGCTGGTGGGATCCAGGAGATAAGCCTTCTCTGCTGTGGCTCCTGCCCTCTGGAACATCTTGGCCCTGGAGGTGAGATTGGCTCCCATCCTCCTGATGTTTCGTAAGAGCTTTAAGACTTGCTGGCTTACCAGATAGTTTGAAGAACCAATGGGGGAGCTTCAGACTGGTGGTTTGACTAAATAAAATTCAACCCCACTTCCCCTGTGTGTCTGGCCATCCATCTTTGTCATTTTGTGTCCATGATTTTTATCTGTTAATGTTTTTTATCTGCTGTGTTTTTTTTTTTACAATGGATGATTTTAATGTTTTTCATTGTTTTATGTTGTAAGCCCTCCAGAATCATTGGATACGAGATAGGTGGCAAATAAATTTCATAAATAAGTAAATCACATGACACAGTTTTAAAGGATTGTGAAAGAAGTGTACCTGGGTTAGAACAAAGGTCCCTCTATTGTCATGCTTTGCTTTTCATCATTGGATACAGGATGACGCTAGAAAGTTTAGAAGCAGAGTATGAAGGGATCAGTGGTTCTCAACCTTCCTAATGCCGTGACCCTTTAATACAGTTCCTCACGTTGTTGTAACCCCCAACCCTAAGGGCTCTCCAAGCGTGCACCGATGCCACCCACTCATCCGCCCTGCCTGGGGCTCAGCGCGCCTCGCCTGTCCTCGCCTCACTTCCGAAGGTCGCCGGCCTGCCCGGCTCCAGCTGGCCGGGGAGGGGGGGGCAGGAAGGCCACTCTGCCAGCTCCACCCAGCCTGGTTGGAGAAGCACCCAGGCGGGGAGAGGGAGAGAGACAGACAGAGAGGGGAGAGAGAGAGAGAGAGAGAGAGAGAGAGAGAGAGAGAGAGAGAGAGAGAGAGAGAGAGAGAGAGAAGAGGGCGCCAGCGCCAGCAGAGCTTAGTTCAGCCTCCTCCGCGGAAAGAGCCATGAAGCAGCACAGCCTCCCTTAGGAGATGCTTGATGGAAACGAATCCGGCACTGCAATGGCCCCCAGCTCGAAGCTGTGCAGAGTCAGATAGAGGAGCGGTGTCTCAGTTCCTAAGACCATCGGAAATATGTGTTTTCCGATGGTCTTAGGCAACCCCTGTGAAAGGGTCGTTCGACCCCCAAAGGAGTCGCAACCCACAGGTTGAGAACCGCTGGTCTAGATGAATCTCCTAATAATTCATAGAGATCCGGATATCTAATCGATGTTGTGCAGAACTTCAGGGATGCAAATCTCATATTAATGCTAGTTCTTTATTGCCTTTCTGGGGTGAGGCACAGTTGTTTCTCATCTCTCAAGCTTTTTAATGTTAACAACTTATGTACACCATAACAGAGCTTTTTAATTAATCTTACTTTTGCAGTTGACTGGCTGTTTAAATTACTTGCTCAGTTATTGTTTGATCACATAGGCTAAGACTTCTGCTTTTTTCCTCTAAATATCTTAGATATTGAAGGACTTAAGCCTCACCACAAGGAAGAGACTTATACTCAGATTTCCCATTGTCCAAGCACCCCACATCTCCTTCATAAGTATTTTCTTCTACATCTCATCTTCATCTATTTGGAGAGATTCTCAAACACTAGGAATAATATTTTAGAGTAAGGGGATTTTCAATTGTATAAACACAATTTTGTGCATTGTCATAGCTAAGCCATAATATAGTAGAAAGTAGACACAAATCTATAATAATCTCATAACTGAATTATCAGTCACAAGGAAAGAAAACAGCCCTTTGGGGTCTATTTTTTTCTGTTGGATCCTGTTGAAAATACAATATTTAGGAAAGAAAAATCATGGCTTTTACAATGGTTGTCCATCAAACATGATCTGTATCCTTTATTTTGTTTTTCCAAGAAGAAGTACAAACTATATTTATTGTATAAGGCAAGAAGAAATTTATAATTCTAAGTATCTACCTAACCCTATTATCCTGTTTTTATAATAACTAGTCAAATATCTCTTGGAAAGCCCAAAGTTAGAACTGAAGAAGCTTCTTGGATAAGAAGTGAAATGTTTTTCTTTCGGAAAAAGCAACTTTGGAACAACCATTATCTGGATGATTAAGAATCTCTATAGACATCTCTTAGAAAACTCACAAGCAGATCATGAGTTTCCAATTTCCATAAGTTGTATTTCCTAGCAATTGATATTAAGAGCATCCTGCCTTCGAGACTCTTCTCTATGAAATGAATGTTTCTAGCATTTGTGTGTTTTGGTATTATTAAGTAGGACTACAGGGTTTAATTAATGTATGTGTTAGATTAATTAAGTCAAAATATTACAATTCTGTAGTATTAGCCTGGGGAAAAAAACCTAATCAATGCTTCTATATCTTTTAGGTGCCTATTACAATATTCAGGGCTTTTTTTCAGCCGGAACGCGGCGGAACCGCGTTCCGGCACCTTTTTCCGGGCCGGCCGCACCGGAAATAGCCCCTCCCACACCGGAAATAGCCCCTCCCAAATTTTACTTGCATTCCTGTTCTCTAAAGGGGCGGTCCTAGGGTTTGATGAGGGCGTGGCCAGGTTTGAGTTCCGCCACCTTTTCTCC